GAGAGCGGCGCGGTCCCCCCCCGGGGACAGCTCCGACGGGGACAGCGCCGACGGGGACCGCGGCGGCGGCGGCGGCGGGGGGGGGACCTCGGGGGGACGCAGCTCCAACCGCCGCCCTTCGCCCCCCGCCGGTCCCGGGGGCTCCTCCGGGGGGGCCGCGCTGTGGCGGCGCGGTGCGGGCAGCGGTGCGGGCAGGTGCGCGCCGGGCTTCTTCAGCAACTTCTCCAGCGGCTTCATGGCCGCGGAGCGCCTCGCGGGGCCATGGGCGGTGCGGGGCGGCGCGGGGCGGGGGGGCGGCTCCGCTCGCGCTCGGGCTCCGTAGAGAGGGGGGGGGCCCGGCGCCGCCGCCCCGCCCCGCCCCGCCCGGCACCTGCCCGCCCCCGGCCCCGGGCGGAGCGTCGCGGTCACGCGTGGCCCCCCCCGCCCGCAGCGCCGCGCAGCTCCGCTCTCCGCCGAAACCCACCGCGCGGCGCGCTCAGGCAGCGCGCATCCCACGCCGCCCCCCCCCCCAATTCCGGCGTGGGAAAAGCCCGTGGGTATGGGGGGGGGGGGGCTGAGGGGGGGTTCCCGCTGCGGCTTTGTTCGCGGTTCGCCTCCATCCCTCGTTGCCTGGCAACTCCCGGCCGCGGGGGGGGATCGGGGGGCGGCGGCAGAACGCAGCCGTGTCCCCGCGTGTCCCCTCCACGCGCGGCTCCGCGTTGCGCTCCCCTCGGACCCTCAGCGCGGGGTCGGGACGGGAAACTGAGGCACGGTTTGGGGGGGGGGAACCGGGAACGCGGCCCAAATCCGCGCTGCCCCAATTGCAGCTCGGGGACGGGGGCAGCGCTGGCACGGAGCTGTTATAATTAATGCGCTGTTATTTCTCCTAACGAGCCGGGAGCTGCCGCGGCGCTGCCCGCCCGATGCCGCCTCCATTTGCAGCCGTGGGGTGGGGGTGGTTGGGGGGGGGGGCAAAACCCTCGGCTCCTCTCAGAGCGCCCACGCGTGGGAGAGGGGGAGAACCCCATGCGCCCACCTCGCTGCAGCACGGGGGTCACAGCCCCGCTCCCCCCACTGCTCCCCCCAAAGCCGCCCCACGAGCACTGAGGTGGGGCCGGGGGTTCCCTCATTGTGGCAACGGGCCGCGCTCCGTCCTCACCCCCACGCGCTGCCCCGGCCCGGGGGGGGATTGGAGCACCGCAGACCCGAACCGCCCTCATCTCCGCGTCAACACAACGCTGCTTTGTCAGCGCTCGGTGCCACCACGGCCGCGATGCTCCGAAACGCGACCCACCGGGCGCCGCCGAAGCAGCACGGACGGGAACCGGGCAGCCACCGAGCCGGGCGGCAGCGGAGCGGGCGGCCCACGCGGGGCGCGCCGGGGCACGCCGGGCACCGCCCCCAGCAGCACCGCGCCCGGTCGGGCCGGTTGTGCGGGCAGATGCGCGGTGCCCAAAACGCTCCGTGCCTCCGAAGGGCCGGGCAGCACAAAGCCCGCAGTGCACAGAGCTGCGTGGAAGCTCTGCGAGCCCAAATCCGAGCACAGCATCCCGGGTTGGGTGCCTCCAGCTGCAGCCGGGGCTGCCCGGGGTGCAGCCGTGCTGGAAAAGCAGCAGAGCGGATTCTGCACGAAGCTCAGCTGCTCTTACAGCCACAGGAATACACTCATATTTTAAAAAGAGAATTTAGGATGAGAATGAAGCACGGGCTGGGTGTGGGGGTGGCACTGCGGCACGGCAGACACACGGATTCCAAATACCCAAAAGAAACAAATCAGCTTTACTGAAGGAGCCGGTTCATTCCTTAAATAAAAACAGAGACCACAATCAAGCAGCTGAGTTGAACATCCTAGAAAGGGAGAAGGGGAGGCTCAGTAGAAGGGGGAAGTGGGTGAGACCTCACGGCCACTGACCCTGGTGCTGCCTGAGGGTCAGGGGAGGGGAGGAGGGCCGGCAGCCGGGGGGTGGTCCGGGGATGGAGGCGATCGCCCCGAGCAAAGCCGTGGCTGATGGCATCTCATCCCAGCCAGGCGGGGCCTCCTGGTGCAGAACTGCTGGGTCCGACGCTGGGGTTCCACGGCCGCATCCCTACGTGCTGCTCCTCTCCTTCACCTTCTCACCTTTGCTGTCCTGGGGGAGCAGAAAGGAGATGGAGGCTCAGCACCACGCAGCGCTGCGGCCGCCGCCCCCCACCCCGCTGCCCCCAGAGCCAGAGCAGCTCCTCGGGCCACGCTGCCCTCCCACTCCAGGGATGGCTCCCAGGGATGCCCTCCCAGAGGGCAGCTCCCCGCAGGGGACGCTCAGGGCAGATCTCCAGCAGCTGCACTTCCCAGCTGGGGGGGCACAGGGGGAGCAGTGCTGCCCACCCCGAGGCACAGCAGCACAGAGCGACGCACGACAAGGGGAACCAAACACACACGTGGCACTCGGGCACACACACACACAGACCAGAGCTGCGGTGAGAAATCTGTCCCCAGAGCAGAGGAATGGCTCTCAGCTCCACACAGCCTTTAAGGCTGCTTGCTGTCTGTGCTATGTACTGCCAGCATCCTGGCACTGCTCTCCCACTGAAGGCACTCCCTCCTAAGCTCAGTGCTGGGTTATTCCCTCTGAAGCATTTTTTTCTACCCTGAGCAGAAAGAGAAAGCAAGAGTCAAATTCCGACTTACTTTTTACGTGGGTTAGATTTAAAGTATTTAGAAACTCAAATTAACTGGAGCCCTGCTTACCACCTGCAACGAGAAGCTGAGGTTTGGGACATGTCAACAACGAGGCATTTTTAAAATGTCCTTGGAACAACACATTATTTTTTTTTTCGGGTGGGAGAGGGAGGCTGCAGCACCACACACACCTCAGGGGACAGCACCACGCAGACAGGGGGAGAAGGGACGGGGAAAGGGATGAACAGAGGGGACGGTACCTCGGGAGGCGGCGGTTTGATGGTGACAGGCTGGGATGTCCTCCGTGGTGGTGAGGGCTTGGGCTGCACTTGCTGCTGGACAGTGTTGTAGTACGTGACCCCCCCGTACACCTGGGACTGCGCCTGCTGCCGGAGAGCAGCACGGTCAGCACGCAGTGCCCACCTGCTGCCACAGCACCAGAACACGGGGAGGAGATGGCAGCACACAGGTGGTAGATCCACCCACACTGAGATTCCCCCCCCCGCTGCCCAGGCTGCCCCAAAGCACGCTGTGCCCCTCAGCCCCTTTGTGGGCGGCTCTGATCTGAGCAGCGAAGGTCAGGAAGGCTGCAGGGCTCGGGGAGAGTGCGTGTCTCAGTCCTGCCACTGCGTGTCAGCCGTGTGCTGCTCGCACGCGGCCTCGGGGACCTTTGGTTGCCACCAGGAGGGGCAGATGCTGCTCCTGCTCCCCACTCACGCGGAGCTGGGCTAGGAACGGGAAAAGCCAGCCCTGCAGCAAGCACTGCTCACAGCGAGGGCTGCCCAGGCAGTGCTGAGGAACGGCACCAGGCAGTTCCCAGTGTGCACAAAGGACATCCAAACAGTTCTCAAGATGTCTTTGGGTGAGTGTGAACCTGGAGGCTGAGCAGCTCTCAGCCTCCTGTGGGACAGCACCCAGTTCTACAGGGGAAAATCTCAGCTCCAGGATCCTCCAATACAGGTATGCCATACTTGAGACCCCAAATCCAAGTGAAGTGCAGTGCGGATGTGGGAGCAGTCCTTTTGGTGCCCACCTCCAGCAGAGAAACAAATGACAGCAAACAGCCCCTGCTGGGGGCAGCCCCGCTGCTGCACTGCCCTCCCAGGCTCAGGAACACCCACGGCTCTGGCAGGAAGGAAGGGCAGCACGGCTCACCTGTGTGTTGGAATAGAGGTGTGGAGGGGGCGGCGGGGGCAGCGCTCCCGGGGGGTACGGGTAGCCAGGATTCCCAAAATTCATGACTCCAGGCGGGGAGAAGTAAGTCGGGGCGAGCAGCTGCTGCGGCGGGGGCTGCCCTGGGGGCATGGAGACCGGCGGAGGGTAGAGCCCAGGGTTTGCCATCGGGGCTGCTGTCTGGTGGGGATGTAAACCTGAAGGAGCGACAAAAACGAGCTGAGCACCACGCCCTGGGGGAGGCAGTTTGTTGCACGGGGCCAGGACTGCCATGGGGGCAGAGGGCAGCGTGGCTGTGCCATCCGTGCTGCGGGCAGGAGAAGGGCAGAGGCTTTTCCTACAGCCTGCAGAGCTCAGCTCCTGTGCTGGGGAAAGGAAAGGGGAAGCTCTTCTCAGCAAAGAGCACACGGCCCCCCCGGCCTCGGTTCAGGAACCGGACACGGCCCCAATTGGCACGTCCACTTCAGGAAACAGTTTTGCAGGCGAGATAGAGAACACCCCAATCCAACAGCTCTCATTTCTGCTTTTCTCTTCTGAGCTACAAGCAGCAGGGAATGAAGACCCAGCCTGGCACGACAGCTGGCACAGCCCCACACCCTGCTGCCAAGGAAGGGCCTGGCCAGGCTGCATGCAGAACCGTGGCCATGCAGCCAGAGGCTGCCAAGGCAATGAGATGATCTCAGTCTGTGCTGCCTGCGAGAGTCAGACATGGCTATTTTTCTTCCCTGAAGATTTATATGAATTCAACCCTACTGCATGAGGGAAGCAGGTCTCCTCCATGCCACAGAAAAGGACAGAGGCTGTGCGAAGCTGACCTGGCTGCCCTGTGCTCCTCACCTGGATGAGGGAGATGCATTTCTGGCTGCACGATCATCCCCTGGGGCGGCAGCGGGGCTGGGTTCTCACTGTGGGTGTAGATTGGTCCCTGGAATTGTACTGCAACACAGAGCAGAGCGTAAGAAAAATCCCCACCAGATTTTGTTCTACTGCAGCAGATCACACCGCAGATCCAAGCCACCTACAGTTGCTGCACTTGAATGCAGTGCTGCAAGCTCCACTCCTACCAGAACAGCACACAGCCCACCCAGCTCACAGATGCTGCGCGCTCCCAACAGCAGAGCTTCCCATTCCCTTTACAATGCAGAATGCTCAGGGAATTTCTCCTCTCACACTTTGCATGCCGGGATAAATTCCAAACCCATCTTTTTGTTCAGCAGTCCTCCCTGCTGCTCTGATTTCTGGCCAGTTTTAACTTCTCACAAAAAAAGCAGTGCCTTTGGAGCCTTTGCCTGGGGCAGGAGGGCAACTGCTGCACACTGAGAACAGCCCAGGGCAGCTCAGAGCAGCGGAGACAAAGCAGCGATGCTAATGACAAAGGGAAGGGGAGCAGAGCCCCTCTTTAGCCCCAGCCCAGTGCCAGCACCTGGGCACACAGGGCAGGAGGGGATCACTCACGTGGGTCGTAGTAGTGCCCCTCCATGATGCTGATGTGCATGGGGGGGGCAGGCTCTGGCACTGGCGGTCTCTGCCGCTGCGAGGAGTAGCGCTTCACACGGCCGCCCTGCACCGCCTGCGGGAGACAAAGCAGCAGTCAGAGCCCAGCAGGGAGCACCCACTGCCCCCCCCGGGCCTCTGTGGGTCACAGCAAAACCACAGCACACAGAAAGGGAAGGGCTGAGGTGCCCCAGACACGCTCTAATTATCCCAGCCCACAATCAAAGCAATGCTCGGCTTCCCCGCTTCCATAAACAACGTGCTTTACCATTTCCTCCATCCTGTTGAACTGAGGGGGTGGCCCAGTTCCCACGTGCATATGGTTAGGAATACCTGAGGAAGAAGCAAACTGGTTATTATGGGTTGCATTTGTTCTCAGCCACCTCACTGTCACCAGTGCTGGGAGCTGCACACCACCGCCAGGAGACCCCGCACTGCCCCCCCAGTGAGAACTTCACAACAACTCCAGCTGTCTGACTGCCATTTTAAATATCTCAGAGCAAAACAGAAGCTGTTGTGTCACTGCACGATCATCCCCTCTGCTCAGTGCATTTTAAATCTTCCTAAAAGAAATCCTCCGCTTTAAATCCAGGTTCAGATCTCAGCTCTGCTCCTGCTCAGAGGATTTCTTCGCAGTACAAACATGAATCCATATGGGACAGCGTAAGCATCAAAAACAACCACCAGCACCACCACGTAATCTCAGCTGTGAATCAGCTTCCAAACTCTCATCCTAGTGGCACGTTTACAGCCTGCCCACTCCGGTCTACAATCAAGGCAAGGGTCTGCTCACACCATGCTGTGTGCAGGAAGATCTGCTTCCACAGACCTAACCCTCCAGAGCAGCTTATGATAGCAGCAGGTCACTTTCTTCTCCTTGCTCCAGTTTTATTTCTCTTGGAAAGGACTCTAACTCTCCCCAGAAAAAACTTTAATTCTGCAAAGAGATAATTATATCTGGATGACCTCTAGCACGGTTGCTCCACAAGATTTCAGTCCTTTGCTCAGCCTGCCTGCCCACTTCCCAGCACAGATCAGCCTCTTCCAACCACACCAATGGATTTACAGCCAAATGGCACTGCCAGAGACCAGCTCAGAGCCTGCAGCATGCCTGTGTTGATGAAGGGAGGCCGGGTCCCTCTTGACCTCAGCAGCACATCACAGGAGCCCAGTTACTCATCACCCTCACCCATAACCACACACAATGCTCTTTATCCTCTGAACTCCAGCTCTGAGCCTTGCTGTGACTCACACAGCTCTCTGAGTTCCTGCTGCCTGCTCCCCACGCAGCCCTTCCCCTTCGCTGACCCTTCCCCCATTCTTAACAAACAGGGTAGGCAGAAAGTCTGCTCTGATGCCCATCTGAGCCTCAACCCAGTTCACCTACAACAGAATGTTTAATTTCCTCATTTTTATGTTCAGTTTTGTCCCTTCCCATTGTTCCACTGCATTTTCTCCATCTCGTGAGTCTCCACCACAGCTGGGACAGCATCACACAGCTCAGCTCTGAGCAACTACATGACTGCAGACCCAAGGCAGTGGCAGCAGCACCCATGCTGCCAGCTGGCACACACTTACCCCGCAGCTCCCGGGGCTGTATGAACTGAGACTGCCCCGGACTCCAGTTCTGCTCTGTCAGATTCATCTGAATCATCTCCTGCTCAAGTCCATCCAAGCTGGATTCCACTGGTGACTCCCAGTTGCTGCTCTTTGCTGGTGGGGGGGACGTCTCAGCTTGGATGGGTTTTGGTGTCGCAGGAGCTTCCAGAGCAGGCACATCATCTGCCAGCTTCCCCGCATCCCCAGCTTTGACTCTGGTCCTCCTTGCCCGGGAATAAGACTTCTTTTCAATTGGTCGGTCTGGCGGCGGCTGCACGGCGTCGGTCTGGTTTTCCAGAGCACCCTCCTCCTTGACAGGACTGCCATGGACGTGCACTGCTTCCACTTCTGGTGACTTCTCTCTCGGTGGGCTCTGCTCCACACGCTTCGCTCGATAGCCGCTCTCCTGTTTGCCTTGCTCACTGTTTCGGGACGGGTGTTGCACACTCACTTCTGAAGCTCGGTACCCCGGGCGGGTCTCCTTGTAGCCTCCCACCCTCGGGTAGTTCCTGGGAGGGGGCATCCTCCCCGTTCCCGCAGAGCTCCTGCTGGTGAAGGTTCGTGGGGGAGCAGAAGTGCTGTCTGTGCCCTGGTGCCGTGGGGGTTTGTTGGGCCGCTCGTTGGACCAGTTTGGGTCTCGCTGGGGGCTCCCAAACCTGGGGGATAAGAGCAGTGCGAAGGACTGGAACCAAAAGCCAGGGCAGGGGTGCTGCTACAGCAGCAGTGAGTCCTCTCCAGGACGCAACACCCAGGATTGAGGTCCCCACCCCCTGGTTAAAGCCCACTACAGAGGGCTGCGGCCATCCCCCATGAGGAGCAGGCCGTGCTCTGCCCGCTGCTCACCTCGGTTTGCGCATTCTCCTCGGCCTGATGTCATCAGGGTTGTGAGCAGAGCGGATGTCGTAGCCATACAGTGCAATCAGCTCCTGCCTGGTTTTGGGGGCCTGCTCGTCCTCCCGGAACTTGTCGTGCTCCCAGCGGCCCTCGTCCTTCCACAGCTTTCGCTGCCGACCCTTTGGCCTGCACACACGGGGAGGAACAGGAGGTTGTGACAAAGCCAAGGATGGTGGCTCCAACCCGCAGCAAACGCTTGGAGGGCAGAGCGTGTGCAGGAGGCAGCACTTCTCCTTTCTTCTGTTCAGCAGCTGCCCACTGGTAAAAGGCTTTACTTGTGCTTACTATGCCCAGTCCCTCCTTTTACAAAACTAAGAGCCAAGATGTCCTGGCAGAACACTGCTAGCAGGCAGCTGGGCCAGAGAACAGAGAAGCTCTTTGCTGATGCCTTCCCAGCACATCACAAATGCTGCAAGCATCACCAGAGCCGGGCACTGCCACATACCTGACCTCCTCCTCCTGCGTCTGCCCCCGGAGGTCATGCTCAAAGAAGAGCCCTTTGCGTGGGATGTAAGCCGGGTTCTTCCGATCCTCGTCGTCGTCCAGGTGCTTGGGAGCTTTTTTCCCAACTTTATTCTCAACAGGTTCGGTGCTCTCCTGTCAAAATCAGACAGCTCCTAACACTGCAGCAGCCCCGCTGCGAGAAGCTCCCCACAGAGCAGAGAACACACAGATAACACCTACCTGCCCGTCCCCACTTTGCCTTTCACCAGTTACAGCACCTTTAGAGTCCAGTTTCTCATCCCCTTTCTCTGCTTTTGCTGCAGACTCACAGGAATCATTGCTATCCTGCTTCAGTTCCACTTTGGCACTTTCTTCCTCGCTGTAATCCTCTTCCTCTGCCTGAAAGAGCCCCAGTTTACTCACACACACACACACACACGTAGCAGTTGGTCTCCTGGTGATTTCCCAGAGAAATCCCCACGCTTGAAGTTAGGTTCCCATTCCACTTTTTACAGCTCTGACCGTTTCACAGCACAGAATTTGCTCCCAAAGTCCTCCTACTCTCTATCTTTACAGAAAAGACAATGATTAAGCCCAAGGTCTCTCCCCAGCAGCTGCCACTGGTGACATCAGACCAAACAACCACAGCTGCCAGCACAGAGCTGGGAGCAGCTCCCCCACACCACCCCGAGTGCCACATGTGCCTCCTGCAGCCAGGAGCCCAGCTGATGGGATGATGGCTACACCACCAGGCCCTCACTGTTCCTCTCTCCCACAAGGGCCCACTGCAGCCACACCGCAGCCCCACATTCCCTGCAGTCACCCAGCTGACTCACTCCAAGCTCTGTGCTCTCAGGAGCGTGACCTCATTTCACCCTCCAGGAGCCTGCAAGCCTTGCTCAGCTTGAGATCGCCACTAAAAATAGCCCGGTGTGATTAACAAAAAGGCTGCTCTATTTTTCTCTTTCAACACAACCTATTTGCACATCAACTGCTCCTTTTGTTTACGCTGGGGAAACCCAGACATGGCATTATTTTTAGGCTCAGGAACAGAGCCATCCTGGCACCCGGTGATGCAACACCGCTGGGCCTGCCGAGGGGAGCTGCCCCTTCCTTCCTTCCCAGGGCACAGCCTGCTCCAGCACTGCACAGCCCCAGGAGCTTCCATTCCATCCGCCTCAGTTTGTGGTTTTCTTTTTAAGCCAGTGCCCACCTCGGGATCTCCACAAAGCCTGTCTCAGCACAGATTGCTTCTCTGAACGCCTCTGATCTCAGAATGCAGGGCAGCGTGTTGCCATGGGCTGTGGCTGAGGCTGCCCCTCGAGCACACTGCTCAGCACACACAGTGCAGAGCTGCCTGCATGCAGGCGTCTCGTTGACCCACTGCCACACACAGACATCAGGGATGCCCCTTGGGATGCTTCCAACCCAGCTCTAAGCTTTTAATTTCAACTAATTACAACGTAGCCACCATCCTACACCTCTTCCACACCCTTCTTAGCCGTTCTGCTCCCACCACGCGATGTCTGAGAACTGAGATGGACCACGTGCTTGTCCTGCATTCACCTTGCAACAGCATAGGTGCAGCAGCACCCGCCCTGCCCTGACAGAACCATCAGGGGAGGAGGAACTGCACCTGGAGAACCCGTTTTCCCCTCACACCAATGGCTGCAGCGCAGCACAGCTCTGTAACACACACAAGGCACAAGAGCTGCAGCCTGGAGACAGACAGCTGCTGCAGATGGGTCAGCGGAGAGAACGAAGGGCACAAACTGGTGTCGTGCTAAAACTACACTAAAGTCACTCCATAGAGCCCTTCCACCACCAGGACACGCAGGCTGACTTACCTCCGAGTCCTCTGCGCTTTCATAATCCGACAGCACAGCTGCAGGGGAGAAAAAGGAGGCACTGTCAGGGCAGGAAGAGCAGCACAGCTCCCTGCGATCGCAGCACTGGGTCCTGGGCCATCACCAGCAAATACAGCACATGGCCACATAACGTGGTATCACACAGCAGCAGGAAGAGCTCCTGAGGAGGAGCACCACCCTATGCGGGGGGACCACCAGCACCCCCTGCACCCACATTTGCAGTATTATGGCTGATGCTCAGGACTGCAGCCGCAGCACTGCAGGAAGCAGCGCTTTCCCCCACGTTTCCCTTTGCAAACACTGTGAGCACACGCAGTGACACAGCCGTTACTCACCATCGCCTTCGATGCCGTCCTCGCTTTCCTAAAGAGAGAAAAAAAGGCGCGTTAGCAGAAGGGAGAGAAGGGCAGCATCCGGCCCGGGAAGCTCAGCTCATCTCAGCTCAGCCCCGCGAGCAGGGAGCCGCGAGGAGCCGCGAGGAGCCGGTGACACCGGGAGAGCCGCGCGGCAGCACCGCGAGGCGCGAGGGACGCGGATCGCCGCCCCGCCGCCCCACTCACACACTCGGATTGCGGAGCGCTTTTGGCCGCCCCTCCCCCGGCGGCGCTCTCGGCCCCGCGGCCCCGCGGCCCGGCGCTCAGAGCTCCGGCGGCGCCTCGCGGAGGGCGGTGTGAAGGCCGCGGCGAAGCGGAGCCGGAGCGGGAGCGGGCGGGGCTGGCGGCGGAGTCGCCGCTGTCGGAGGCGGCCGAGTCCGAGTCGTCCTCGCTGTCCTGCGAGGCGCGCTGCCGCCGCCGGTCCGCCATCTTGGGGCAACCGCAGGGGCGGGCGGCGCCGCAGGGCACCACGGGAACGGACTACGGCTCCCGGCGGCCCTCGCGCGCGGTGACGTCACGCGGCGCGCCCTCCCATCGGCCCCCGCGGCGTTTCCCGCTGCCCGGCAGGGGGCAGGCGCGCGCCGAGGGCACGGCCCGGAGGCGGAAGTGACGTCACGCGCGAGACGGCGCAGAGGCCAGAGGTCGCGGGGGGCGGGGAAGGAAGGCAGCGACACGCAGCCGTTGTTTTTCCGCTTTTATTGAAAAAAAAAAAAAAAATGGAGGAAAAAAAAAAAAACGAACCAAAACCAGAACAAACAAACAGACAAAATGTCTCCATTGAGTCAGCACCGGGGTATTTACACAGCGACCCAGGCGCACGGGCCGGGCTCCGGGCAGGCCCAGGCCGCACGGCAGGGCGGGGTTATTTGTTTAATTAACGTTCGCTCCCCTTTTCCTGCCGCTCAGCCGCGGGAAGCAGCGAGCAGCGCCCTCAGCACTGCGCCTGCAGGAACGGCCTGGCACAGAACGGGGCTCCTGGCACAGGGTGAGGGGGGTCGGGGCGCTGCCGCCCTCAGAAGGCTTAAATTAAAAAGAACCAACGTTGTGCGTTGAGGATTTCTATTTCACACACGAGGGAGGGGGGGGGAAAAAAAAAAAAAAAAAAGTTTGTTTTCGTTTCCTTTTTAAACTCTCCTCCCACCACGTTACAGCCACTCAACAGGAACAACACAAAGGCGGTGGCTGACGGAAGCTTCAGCCTCAGGGCAGCTGCTCAGCGCCGTTTCCTGACCCAGCAGCAGAGCAGGGCCAGCGCTGCCGCAGCCCTTCCCCAGGGAGCACAGGCAGGGCCCGGTCCCTGCCCGCCACGGACACTGAGACCCGCCGGGACCCACAGGAGGCTCCCACCCCACTGCTGCACGCAGGGCTGTCGAGGAGGGAGGAACACAAATGGGAGAGAAACCCCAGCTCAAAGCACAGGCAGTGGGGACGAGTCTGAAACGTGTTGAAAAGAAAACGAGAGAACAAAACCAGGGCATGGAGGGAACAAAACCATCCCTGAACAAGAACGAGGAGGGCAGGGACTCGGCAACGTACAGAGCTCCCGGCTCCGCTGCGCTGCTACTTCCTGCAGGTCCGGTGGGGGGTCTGCTTCTTCTGCACCTCCAGCCGGCAGCGGCTGCGCTCATCCAGCCAGGGCAGCTCGAAGTTCCTGCAAACAGAACAGCACTCAGCACCCCACAGCACCATCCCACCCGCGATGCCCCATCTCCAGTGCCCCTTTGTACTCACTGTGGGGTCAGTTTGGGTAAGGGGCGGCCGAAGGCAACGACAGGCAGGTAGGGGGTGATCAGCAAGCTTTCCACTGTGGGAGAGAAACAGCGTCACAGAGCTGCAAAAGGCAGGCAGCTCTCCCTGCACCACCAGGCACTCACCATCATCCGGCTCAGGGAAAAATGAGGTAACTTCAGGCTCCGACTCCTGAATTCCTTTCCTTTTATACATTCTGAGCTGCAGTCGCTGTAAAATTCTTTGTTCCCTGATCCTTTGGATGTCCCATCTGGAAAACAGCCACCCGCAGGCAGTGAGGAGCTGCAGCTGGGTGCCAGCAGCCGTGCAGGTCAGCGGGAGCTGCGTTTGCAGCACTGCATTTATTCCTACCTTTTCCTTCGTTTTTCATCCAGCTCCAGTTTTGCATGCCGTTTGGAAAACACGCTGTCATCGAGGTTCTGCATAAAGAGAAAGGGAGATGGGTGCTCCCCCCAGCACTGATTTGTTCCCCTCACCCGCTGCAGGTGCCTTCAACCATCGGTTCTGATGGTGACAAATTGACTGCTGCAACCTCAGCCACACACACAAGGCCAGCCACGACTTGTGCGTACCTCCAGGATGTCTGAGGGGTTGGGGTCTCGCAGGGGCTCCACAACATGGTCCCTCCAAGATGGAACTGCAAGGGGAAGGTTCAGACGTTAACCCAGCACAGAGGCACTGCAAGCTCACTCTACACCACCAGTCCCAAGCTCCAGAAGACTCCAGCCAGGCTGCTCTGGACTGGCAACACGGAGAGGGCTGGAAGCTGCCCTGCCTCTCGCAGCAGACCTGAGGCACTGGGATGGAATGCAGAAGTCTCCTCCTCACTCACACAACATTTTGCTATCCAGCATTTGCAGGCAGCTGGCAACGCAGCAAACCTGGCAGCTCCCCGTTCCCATTGTGCTCCCTCCACCTGTGTGCTGGGCACCTCACAGAGCTCAGGGCTTTTCCTTCCCCAAATCAGGCTGCATTCTGGGGTTAGGAGAAAGCACCCAGAAGTGGCCCAGCAGGAGGCAGGGATTCTGCCCGGGCGCTCTGACAGGGAACAAACACATCGCACTGCACCGCACCAACCCAGAGACACATTTCCCAACCACAAACAGGAAGTTGCTTCACATTTTGCTCAAACAGGCACACAGGCTGTGCTGGAAACCAGGCTGGTTTGACACACACACAGCGGGGCCCAGAGCCCCCTGCCCAGCACAGGCAGCATGAGCCAGAGAAGGGGCCCGGAGCACTCGGGCAGCGCAGACAATCTGCTCCGTATCTCCATTGCATCCGGGACGCCGCTCTGTGCCAGCTCTGGGGAAGGGCACAGGGCTCCCAAGGCAGGCGATGCTCCACCAGCTGCCAGCCCTGCCTGCACACCTTCTGCAGGCCCTCCTCGCTTACTTGCTACAGTCTCCTCCTTCTTTGGGGAGGGCTCTCGTAACGGCAACGGTGATGGGGGGGGCTGATGCCAGCGACACAAGTACATTTCCGTGGTGGAAAGGTAGGGCAGATCGTCTATCTCGCTGAAGAAGCCCTTTTCCTTGGGGTGGCTGCTGGGGCCCTTCAGTGGGGCGGAGGGTCTGAGCGGGGTCTCCAGCAGCGACCTGTTTTTTTCTGGAGTCTCTTGGCTCCGCAGTTCTCGTTTGCAAACAGTTTCAGACAAAGAACCGCACGACTCCTCTTTCACCGGAGAGTGCTTCAGAGTTTTACCCTTCACCTTTGAGAACTCAGACACCAATTTCTTAACGGGCGTTTTCCTCTCCGCGCTCCCAAAGGCCGGCTTCCTGCAAGAGAAAGGACTGAGCTGCAGCACCTGGAGCTGCCAGCCCTGCACGCTGCCGCTCCGCTGACACTTTCAAGACTTTTCCCTCTCAGGTGCATCACCACCGCTTTATTTTTTAAGAGCACTTGCACACTTGTGTGGGCGCCAGACACCACAAACACACATCTCCGGGGTTTTAATCAGAAGCAGGACTGCAAACAGAATGGGCAAACACAACGAGACCGAGCCTGGCTGGAGCAGAGGCAGGAGAAAGGGAAACCCGCAGCCAGCACTGGGCTGGGTGAGCCCCAGAATCCCACACACCCCACCCACAGCCCCGCAGCACCATCTACCTTTTATGCCCCTTCCCATTCCGGCCGTAGGGAAAGTGCTTGGGCTGCAGGGTTTGCGAGGGCTCCAGCAGTTCCTGCGGGCATTCCAGTGGCAGTTTCTCACACGCCTCTGCTTCGGCCTTCTCGTCCACCTCGAAGCCCTGGAAAATCCTGTGCTTTTCTCTCTCGGTGTCCTTCTTCACCAGCTGCACTCTTCTTTCCATGCGCTCGATGCGCGCAAGGAGCTGGAACACAGAAACACCACGGCTCAGACGCATGCTGATGGCAAGCAGGGAATACCCCCAGTGAGAGCCAACCTGCAGCACCCACAGCGTGTCTGCAGGCAGAGCTCAGCCATCGCAGGACACGGTCAGTGCCTTCCTATTTCCTGACCATAGCAAACTGTGCCTGTCCTGGCTTTTACCTTGCAACGGAGAGCTTCCAAGGCACAGGAGGAGCCCCCAGATGGCACCTGCACCCCTGGTGCTGTGCCCGCACCCCAAGGTCAGCGGGCTGAGGGATGCTGCAGGTTTTGCTATGCACAGAGCGTGCCATCACTAACTCATGCTCGCTCTCCTCAGCTGGAGATGGGAGGCTGAGAGCAGAGACTGTGCCCAGTCATCACAGGGTGACGATGTCTGCGTGCTGCAGGCAATGCACCCCTGTCATGCTAATGATGGGGAAGCCGGGCACAGCAGGTGTGCAGACGCACGACCCGAGATGCCCCAGGAGCACAAGATGGCCCCTCACTGCCCGGCTGCTTCTCGCCCAGCAGTGCTGCCCATCCCCACTGCAGCAGGGCACCGGCTCTCAAACCTGGCACGTGACGAGCAGCGATGGCAGTCGCTCCAACTCTGCCGCATCCCCTGCGAGCGCTCTGAGGGCTCGAGGACGCAGCTCATAATTAGATGCGGTCTTTATTAGAAAGCTGCATTCACAGCCCTGCTGGGCGCAGAGGATCGGCAGCTCAGAGGGCTCTGCAGCACAGCAAACAGCCCGGGACGCCCTGAGATGTGTTTTGTTGCAGCTCCATCCCAGAGCCCCCCCCGGGCAAAGGGCTGCGGGGGGGTGGGGTGGGGGGTTATTTTTAGGCTGCTGCAGACCATGCAGATGAGGGTTGGGACTGGGAGGGAAACACAGAGCACCGCATAACAGGGACTGGGAGCCCGGCAGCCCCACGGCAGCAGCAGCACATGGGTCAGTGGTAGCACAGGGTGCCTCCTAAACGCACAGCCCTGCAAACACAGCCACCTCGGAGGGGGCAACGAAGGGCAGGACGCACATGGGGGGCACCGCATCCGTGGGGGGGGGGAGAAGCGATGCAGATAGGGCATTCCCACCCGTGGGGGGCACGGCACCGGGGTGGGACACACGCACCGCAGTCGGTGCCAGCTCTGCAGCAGCCCTGCAGCGGGGGGGGCCATGCGGCAGCACCAGCCCGGCCCTCGCTGTGAGCTCTGCGCGGCTGCGGCAGCCGCGGGGGCGGAGGAGCAGAGCTCCGCAGCCCCCCCACCCCCCCCCGCCCCGCGGCTGACGCGGCCCCTTTAAGCGAACCCCCGGGCGGCGGGGCCGGGAGGCA